CCCAGCTCTGCCCTGCCCGGTACAGCCCAACCCAGCTCTGCCCTGCCTTCCCTCCTCTGCCCTCCCTGCTCTGCCCAGCCCTGCTCTGCCCTACTCTGCTCTGCCCAGCACAGCCCAGCCCTGCTCTGCTCTGCCCTCCCTGCTCTGCCCAGCCCAGCTCTGCCCAACACAGTCCAGCTCTGCCCTGCCCTCCCTCCCCAGCCCAGCCCAGCCGTGCCCGGTGCTGGGACGGTCCCGGTGAGCCCGAACTTCCCGGACCGCGGCCGCGGCGCTGGGGGCGGAGGATGCACCAGCACGATCCAGCCCACGACTAAAATCAACTTCTCTGGGATTCTACGCGGGGCTGCGGCGGGAGAGCCCCGCTCCCGCTGCCCGCGGGCCGGTCCCTGCCCAGCCCTTGCAGTGACTGTCTCAGCGCCCGCCCGCTCTCCCGGCGCCTCTCCCAGTCTCCTCCTCGTTCGCAGCCGCTGGCGGGACAGTCTCGGTTGCCTGCCCTGTTCCTATGGTTCGTGCCCTACGTCGTATCTGCAGCTCTTTCCCGTGGCCCTGAGGCCCCTCAGATGATCTCTGCTCTCTCCGTGTCAGGGGTCTCTCCTCCTTCTCGTCCTTGTGTTTGCCCCTTCTTAGACGCTCCGTCTCCGCTGAGCTCTGCCAGCGGCCACTGCAGCCTTTCCCTCTGCAGGAGAACTAGCAGGGGCTCACTGCTGTGCCTGGCTACTCGTTTTCACAAAATTTGCAGCAGCACAGTATTTCCGAGACCTCTCTTCAAAAATGGCAATGGACTTTGGCAGTGTTTTAAAGTGCATGGTAACAGTGATGTCAGAGAGCCAGTTCTATCTCAGAAGGCAGATCTCTTCCAGAAACCAAACAGAGGAGCAGCAGGAAGGGGTGAGACCTCCTTCAGGCTTTGGCAAGAAGGCTGAGGCAGCCTGGGGAGGAGGGGGACAGAGTGACTCCTGAGTGAGCTGCACAGGCTGCTGAAGTCTGTCGAATCTGAAGGATAATTCAGAAGAGGAAATGCAGCTTTCCCTCTACTCTCCTGCTTTGGCCCACTGGATCTTCCTCTGCCTTAAGATATGAGGCCATTGATGGATGTGCTTTGCCTCCCCTTCCAGGAGAGTTCTGTAGACACTGTAAGCCTCTGGGACTTGCTGCCTTCAGTATGGCCCCTTTATCATCAAAAGACAACAGAACTTGCTCAAAACCAATGCATAATCTCCCCTTAATTCAGCCAGTGTTTCACAGAGGGTGAACTCTTTTATAAAAGATTTGCATAAATCGGCAGTTTGAAATTACAGGTTTAGAAGCAATCACAGCAGCTTTCTGAAGAGAACTATTCAAATAGACATCAGGTGGGACAACAGGAGCAGCTGAATAACTTCTCTATTATTTGTCTGAGCATGTATTCTCAGGGCAACAGTGGACTGGCCTTTTCCTCACAGGGAAATATCAAGCCTTTGTCAATGATGGAAGTACAAATTCCAGGCCAGTTAATCCCTATAAATCAGGAGCTCCACTGAGGATATTTTGCAATTTACACTGCTTATGATACAGCCTCTCTGTTTATGTCAGTCCAGAGACAGAAATGGCATCTGCATGTCTAATGTGTATGAGCAAAAGACTCTTTTTACATGCCCCCACATCGTTATCTCCCTAAAGCAAAGAAGTAAAGCCACACAAAACAAAAGTAAAAGGAACACTGAAGCCTTAGCTTGTTGCCACATTGATTATTATTATTATTATTCCCTAATTTGGAGACTCATTTTCACTTCCCTTTGAGCCCAATTGGCAGTTTTCCATTCACTTCAGTTTGGGCAGGATCAGGCTTGTTGAGAATTACTGCTATCTGATTGTGCTGTGCAATATAAAAGATAAAAGAGGCAGCCAATTGACACAAAGGAGAAAAAATAAATATCTCATCACCAGGAAAACATGGGAGAATCTATTCTTTCAGGAATGATTGCTATATTCTTTAACTCCTCTAAAGTAAAGTAATTTTACAGCAGCTCAGTGAGTTGGCAGCATGTACACTTTTGTACTTTATTTGAAGTAGTTTTTGTAGTAGTTGTTTTACCTCCTGGCAGATTTTGAGATCTCTCTGAGTCCCATAATAACTACCTTTACTGCCTTGTGGTGCTCCTTTATTACTCCTGCTTTGACAAGATGTCTGCAGCTCTTAACAAAACTTCCTAAAAGCCTGAACCAATGAAGTCTCTAACTCTGCATTTTGGGGACTATTGTTGAAGACTGTACTAATGCTGTCCAGAGACCCTGCAGGCAGCAGAGCCATGTGTGCACTAGGTGGGCAGCACTCTCAGAACAGCAGGTTTTAAAATCCAGACTTCAGGCATTTCCTTTTTCCCTGAAAAAAAAAGGATTTTTTCATGTCCTGTGAGTTAGTCTTTTTTACTGTGCTATGTCTATTTTCTTTAAAGAACATTAATTCTTGGGAGAAGACCTTCACTTTACTTCAAATTATATGTTATGGTGATGTAGATGTATGCACACACTGGGAAAAACAATCTTAAAATGAGCCCAGGAAAGTGAAAAGAGCTGTACCTCATGGGCTCCATTGTCCAAGCAGCCAGTCCCAGAGGGAGAACACTGATTAATGGATCCTGGCAGGATGAAGTAAAAGGCTGAATCGTAGTCTTCTGAAAACATATTTTGTTCTTGATCTTTATCTAATCCTTGGAGCAAGAGACATGAATTATTAGAGTTGGTAAAGAGGAATAATAATATCATAAGAAAATAGTGTTTTCCAAGACATATCAATACTGACGTGGTCTGAAATTTTGATTTTTGTTTCCTGTGACTTCCTGATAATTGTTTTCATTGCCATAAGACTTTCTTCGGTGATTTTTGAGAGCTGTCTGAATCATGCTGTTTCCCATGACTCCAGCATATGGGGGTGAGTATATCTAGAGAAATGATAGAGAAACAGAATGTTTTTTTCCACAGTGCAGATGGATAACACTTTTCCCAGAATAGGCCAAATTCAGCTTCCAAAAAGACTTGGGTAGCCACAAAGAGGGGGTTGCAACCCAGCTGGCTATGGAGCCTGTTGGGCCAGAGGATGCAGAAGATCTTCTCAGCTGGTGTTGTCTTTGCAGTATGATAACTAAGGTAGTAAATAGATTTACATCGGATCTTTGCCTAAATTTGAACTCAAAGCTAAACTGTTGTGTCTTTTGCCAAATACTATAGTGTACATAATGTCTCTTCCTCTTCTTATTATTCATTATAAAGTTATTTAGTTAGGACTGGTACCCTGTATTACCAGTTCAGCAGTTTGGCATTTGTATCCTTCCAATCCTGGATACTTTGTGCATCAGTATTTCACTTAGGCAGTTTCATTTCTCTTGCCAGCATCAAAGGATGTCATCACTATTTTGTCTCTTGGCTGCACCTCCATAACAGAGGACTAAATGTTCTTTGGTTGCACTCAGTGAGAGCTTCCAAAAATATCTCTTAACAATGTATTGGTGACCAGAACATTGCATAAATCAGAGGTGCCCAGACTGTGGTTTATTTCACATACTCAGTTCCTTCTTCCTTAATCCTTGGAAAAGTTCCTTTTACTCCTGGCCTGTCTCCTCTTTCCTTTGCACTGATAATTTCCAGATATATAATCTTGCTAATCTGCAACCATATTTCTAGCCAGAGTGATACTGAACTCCCAGGAAAGCAGTGTTTTTGGCATTTGGGTGCAATTGCACAACACCTTCTTTTACATTTGAGTGTGACTGTGTTTTAATAAGAACAGAGGAGAAGCTACAAACCGGGCTTCAGATCTGTGGGCTGGTGCTTACAAAACAGTGCATTGATTGCTGTGAATATCTAAGGAACTCTTTGTTCAGGGCCTGCATCTTGCAAGAAACTGATTTGCAGGTACTAATGCGCTTCCCTACAGTAAAATAAATGTCATCTTGTCAGTGTGAACGCATTGGATTTTTACTTATTAAAGAAGATAATCTAGTATTTGAAATGAAAGTTCTAGGGAATTCATTTGTCTGATGAAAAACACAGCACAGATTGAGACTATTTTTCTACCTCTATTTGTAGTTTTTTTATCAAGTCCAATAAAAGTGGTTTTCTGCAAAAGAGCAGCAGTTGCCTGACATTCAAGCACCCTGTTGTTCCCTGGGCACTTTCAAAGGGGAGAATCAGTGTGGTGCATGGAGCTGTCAAAGCCCACGCCTACAAACTGCAGGGCAATGTTAATGGAATGAGGCACTCGGCTCATACTTTTGGCTTTGGAATACGTCACTCTTTATTGCCAAAAGGAAAAGCAGCTTTGCTTATCAGAGTGGCTGAGAGCCCTGTAGAAGAGAGCAGTGAGCAGGTGTGTGTGGCTGCTGCCAGCACACCCTGCAGAACACCCGGGGTTACCCCTGTAGAAGGTGCCAGGGGCACACGGAGGTACAGCCTGGGGGTGTTTCCTGCTCTCACTCAGCACAGTTGGGTGACTAAAGCAAAGCTGCCCCCTGCCCCAGAGGTATCAGCTGTTCTCAGAGGAGGCTTCCACCCCGCCTGAGTCAGCAGCAGGGGGAAGAGGCTGTTTGGCTGATTGGCATTGCAGCCCAAGGAATAAGCTTCAGAAGATCTCCTGGAGATGATTTCAACTCCATGGAACAGCTGAGCCTTGCAAGCCAACACATGTGCAGCACAAGCCCCTTTGGATGGTGTGGTGCTTGCTGAGGTGAGTTTTGGTATCGTGAACTCTGGGAAAAAGCAGTTTTGGAGAACTGGTTCTACATAAATGCCTAAAGCCTTCATCACTGAGGTTTTCATCAAAGTCTACTGTGAACTG